GATCCTGCGCAACAAATTTTCTAACAAATCAAATTGATGCACTTTTAAAACGATACGAAGACTGTACCAAACAATGGGAATAATACACCAACGTCAACGTGAACTCATCTTGCTGTATAGATCGCGTGTCAGAGCGGTAAAGCTTAGTTAGTGTTTTGGTACAGTGCATTGTAATTGCCCTTTCTTGTCTTTCCCGTGCATAGCGCGGGGCATTCCACTAATATTAATACCAATAGTTTTTCGCTAATATCACGAAAACTAGAGTTTTCCGTCAATTATGCATAAGGAAAAACTCGTTCAGAATCATACCACTAATAACGTATTAGAAGGACATTCAAATCGTTCGAAGTTGGTTTCAAAAGTTAACAACAATTTTCGCTAATATCTCGAAAACAAAAGCTTTCCGTCAATTATGCAAGAGGAAAAAGTTATCCAGAACCACGCCCCTGACAACATATTCGAAGGACATTAAAATCGTTCGAAGTTGATTTCAAAAGATAATAACAATTTTTCGCTAATATCTCGAAAAACAAAGCTTTCCGCGAAATTTGTATATGAACAAAATTGAGAATCATGTCCGTGATAAGATATTAAAAGCGCACTAAAATCGAGAAAAGTTTATTTCAAAAGTTACCGGTTGTCTTGCAATAACAATACTTTGCAATTTAAAAATGAAAAATTTTTTGACAATGGTACAAATAGGGAGTCAGAACCTACCAGATGCAAAAGGTTTCATTCCGATTGGTCTACCCAGCTAGGCGTAATCGGCGAACATATGTACATAGAAAAAAAAATATACTGATCGAACTGAGTAACCTCCTCCTTTTTCGAAGTCAGTTAAAAATTAAACGGTGAAGGAAACTATAGAAGAATTTGGTGCTTACAATACGGGCGCACGGTTAGAACTAACTAAAAAAGAACTGCTACGACAGTACATGTTTCCATACCTGGTGTACTCGCAGGTCCTTCGCAGGCCCTAGACCCTAATTAAACAATGACTTCGAAGGATGTGGGGTTTTCTAAAAACGATATAAGCATGGTCAGGACTTTAACTTCAACAGTTTCTATGAAAAACATTACACAGTATAATCATAGTACAAACAATTGCTGAAATGTTGCTTAAAATTTAACGTTTAAACAATGAATATTTATATGTACAAATAAGCAATTAATTATGAATTGAATTAATAAATTGTGACTGCAATCAATGTGAAATTGTATCAGTCTAAAGGGTGATTATGCATAAGGCGTAGGAAAACCCCGCGGTGACCTCTGGCCAAAAATACGCATTTTTCGTATTATCGTAATATTTTACTTAACTGATTAAGTATATTTTTGAAGATTTGTACGTGATTGAAAAAACCACTGCAATATATCGTACGCTCCCGCCATTATGTTTGGTGTGATTGCCTTAAGCTCCAATCTTTTCTGCGCGAGTGATTCATTCTTTCTTTTTCAAAGATATCCTAAATAAGAACTTACAAAATGTTCTGTTTCTAAAGCTGTCTCAAACGGTATTTCAACCAGCAGAGAATAGAGAGACAATCTTATCCGTGTGTCTAATCAATTCTGCATTAGGATACATGTTTTTGGTGAACTTTACATTTCAACACATGATCAGTAGCTCTGAAAGTATCCCACTAACAACGTAAATATATTCGAATATTATTTGCACAAAATCTTTCTACCTAGTTTTTAATATGTTGATCATCACTTACTCATATGTTCATTATGAACGGCTTTATGTTTGCATTGGTTAAAAAAAAAAAAAAATATACTGATCGAATTGAGTAACCTCCTCCCTTTTTCGAAGTCGGTTAAAAATAATTAAATTGTTTCTGTTATTTCAGATTTGGCAAGCTAATTCGGACTTGACGAAACGCTACAGAAGCGAGCAGAAATTAGGAGCGGTGCTCATATAATAAATATCTTAATCGAAAGTTTCACGTGCGGAGTTCCTTCAGATGGTTCGACTATTTTAACGCAGAAGCAACATAACAGATCCCAATTCTGTGGTTTATACACCGTTTGAAGGTGAGCAATCACAAAATTATTAATTACTAGAATCCCAACCGGTATAATTAATTGTTCTACAAGTTAGGGCATTGACGATCGCGGTGTGAACAAATGGGCTCTACCTTTTCGTCGCGAGGCGCAGGCGAGACTCCCGTAAGTTCCTGAAATAGGGCAGCTTTATCGCGTGCTCACACCATGCACCGACGTAGAACAATTTGAATTGCTATCCTTTCTTGGAGGATCCAAAATTGGTTGCGGACATAAGTGAGCTGAAAGCCAGCATGCAAGAGATTTCGGTGAGTATTTTCTGAGGAGGGTTAGGAGCAAATGAGCCTTCAAATTAATCGGTGTTTTGTATTTTTAGGAAATTCTGTGTTGGCAAGCCGTCCCTTTGGACGGCTTAATTCCTCCTTGTCAAGGAACAGATGCCAGAACATCAGAAGACTCGATTTTGAAACGGTTCTGCCTTCCTTGAGGCACTTCAATTCACTGGAAAAACCTCGTTATAAACGTAGCCCAACCAGAATAACGTGGAATTCTGAATCTCGATCGGATTATTCTTACAAGGAACATCATCTAATTGTTATACAGGGTGTTACCTGTAACGCTACTCACGATTTTTCTCCACTTGCAGCCACCTTACGAAAAAAAGTTTAGAATAAAATTTGCAGGGTATGAAGTGCACAATAGATATTAGTACAGCAAATTTTGAAAACAGTTTGTCCTCTTGGCAAAGTCAAGGTCACCTTGGGTTTCTTAAATAGGAACATACATTTTTTTTTATTCATAGCTTTAGAGGACATCGAGACGAATTCAAAACATATATTACATTATATTTTTATTAACATATTACTCGATTTACAGAAGTGGAAATGTGAAGTAAAAGACTGGAATATTATGTGATGGAAGGCGGCATATGTTACATTTTGAACATGTAATTAAATAAAGTGTATTTTTCTTATATTCTAGTCGCGTGTTTACATTCAGTGATCTCTTTGGAACCAAATAATGGTTACCCTACCAAAATCAAAAGCTAAGTACTTTACATTTTTACACTTCTGTAAATCGAGTAATATGTTAATAAAAATATAATGTAATATATGTTT